TATATATCGGTATTATATACCTTTTGAGGTTGAAGCCTGCCGATCAGCGCACGGCAGGGGGCCCGCAGCCCGCGAGGGGTATAGTGCGGGCGACGAGTCGTTGGAGCTTTGCGTCGAAAATAAGTGAATAGCTACTTATGAAAAGCGGTCCAGAATGTTTCACTTGCGATGGCAGTATAACTAATAAACAAGATGTATGTTCTTTGTATGTGAATTTTTTTGTACTTTATTGTATGCTGCATCATATTGCCATTGTTGGTCCTTGCGCATGCAAATACTATAACGCTCAGACGCTATGATAATATAACGCTATAATGCTCAGGTATCTACAAAACACTGTGTTGGGTCATCAGGAATTGCCGAGTAAAAACGCGGAATCAAAACACGGCTTGTGGCCTTAGCCCATCTGTTGAGCTAGAGATGGATCAAATCCGAAGTCAATGATTTTCCTTCCATCTATATTCCAGTCAATGTGGCATGGTTCTAGGCTTGAGTAAATTGCCCAGTCCCGAAATATGAGAAGTATTCAGAATCAAAAATGCCAAAATCTTCTCCAATAACATCAAATAAGTTTAACTTAATAAAAAATAAACGCGCCGAGGGCTACGCATAATACTCTAAACAGTCTGATTATTTGAATAATTAAAAAAAAAAGTCAGTTTACTACTGTTGCTTAACAAAGCTAGTCGACACTTACCTAGATTCCGTGACAGACATAGATGCTGAAGTTACACTGCATGTTAAACTTACCGACATCATATGTTTGCATACAAATCAACTTTCCGGTACCTAGACCGTATTAATATGGCAAACAGACCTTTACAGACGCCTTTTCTTCCCAGAAAGAAACGAAAATTCGACATATTTATCGACGGAAGTCGCAGCAGATAGGACGGCGGAATCATGAACCTAATAAACTAGCAAGTGCCAACCTTGCAAATTCCTTCGTCGTTTAATTACAGCCTTTACGAAGATATTTTTACTTCCATCATCCAACACTAGGCGCATCTTCATTCTCGAGATCCAGGTTGAGAAAGAAGAGCATTGTTAACGAAAAATTCGGTAACGAAAGAACGAGAACCATTAAGATGGTTTGAGACTTTCTAGATACGTTCGGTTAAACGTCATCGAGTGTGCCAGGAAGATCACTATCGCCAGTTAGACGAAATGTTTTAATATGCCTCTTGATGTACACAGCCAAGGCTAAACTTTCGACATGTAAGGACATGGGCAATTAGGGCCTTCTTCGCGGTCTCGATACCATAATGATTGCAGAGGTTTGCTTACGTGATCATGTTACTGACATAGGATGATACGATCGTTGATAATCGTCTTTGTATCCTGCAACGAGATTGCGGCTTAAAAAAAGGTGGTGCTTTGACATGAATTTGCTAAGAAGACTTTAAAATTTTGTTCGTGCGGGATGAGACTTAATCCAATCTACTTTTATGATAACATAGTGCGTATTACGTTCTGTTCCTTAATGGTAGTCATGCTTCGTTATAAGCCAAGAAAATCAAGGATTTTTCAAAAATTATCGATCTTTGACCTTCTGATAGTGACTTATCGTCGACTGAGGGCAAGGTCACTTCTTCTGAGGAAACCATCATATATATTAATTTCTATGTTACCAATAAATTTTTTCAGGTATTTAAAATGTAATTCGTTCATCCAGGGTAGCGAGAACAGAACAGTTTTAGAATTTCAAGTAGTATTACTACTCTCATGTAAAGACAGTTTATCTGTAATTGATTCACCAGGTCTGCCTGATCCGCAACGCGGTTTTATTCGAAACAATCGCTGACTTAGAAAAGGCTGCCGATGCCGAACGAGGCATATACTTTTATAAATGTGACTAGGTATTGATCAAGGCTGCATTGTCTTAGGTTAATTGGACTATATACTGTGAATAGTTGACGGTATCTTCAGCTCTCTCATTTCATCTCAACTTTTGCTCCTCCTAAAAACTAACCAGTTGATGCTATGCATGAAACTGCACCAATACATTAATATTTCAGATCTTGTTAACTAAAAACGTTCTTTCCGTCTGTATTCTAAACAAATAGATGTCTCGTGTCTCAAGTACAATACCACGATTCAGCATTAGATCGGACAGTTGGGCTCCACAACAAACCGAAGCGTATGTATTCCGAGTTTCTTTAAATTTCAATGATAATTCCCTAATTTCTGATGATCTGGTAAACACTGAAGTACATTGACACTCCTTTAAATGCTTTTACTGTGCCTCTGGTACTTCACTAAATGCGAGAGCTTCATTGTAAGTAACTGTGAGGATCAATCGTTAATTGTCTTCGTTGATCTTATCATTTAGAAGCTTAGAAAACTTCCCGTTAAATATGATTCCAGCCCAAGTAAAATTTCCTGTCCTTATAAGAGCATTGTTTACTTTCCTGGCAGGCCTTGTGCATAATAATAACAGACAGTGTCAGAATGGTTTGGCTTGTGACTTTTTTTTTAAAAGTTAACTCGATAACTATCGGCCGGCAGCACAAGCGCGTCTAGGTCGAGTACTTCAAGAAGACATTTTGATCGAGCAAGTCGTCGTTACTTAGCATTTAGACCGCCTTTTTATATGGACCAGTGCAGGTAAATCAATGGCAATACAGCTTGTCACAATAGTTCAGGACTGGGCAGTACTTATAAGAGTTTACCTTCGATATTTCTGGGATTCACCTCACAGGCTACGAACTGTATGGTCCTTGTGGCAATGTCGGCAATCGCCCATTATTTCAATGGGCGCCGGGTGCTGCGCCTGTGCGATACCCCATTGACAACATGAATCTAGAACGGTATGAATTTATCTTCTCACAGTAAACCCAGTCAATACACTTTCAATGATGTGACCATTTCTGTACTTAACTTAGTGACATATTTGACTACGTAGTTGCAATTACATCTGAGTCGGATCTCGATTTATATATATGTATATATAAGACAAGACAAATACATCATATTTGGCTGATATAATTTTCAGACGCTTGGTAACTAAATTCTAAATTATATATTAATTGGTACAACAAAAAAAACGATGGTTCTTGGAAGTTCGGCTTTTCAGAGATTCAAGTTGTTCGCAAAGCTACACTGAGATGCGAAATAGATAGAGCTGGCTTATATCTTCAATGTGCATCAGAACTAATAAACCGTAGCAGATTGCATATACTACTTCAATGTAGTAACATATCTCAGTTGGTTCTAAAAATATTCTAGAAAATACAAAAGCGCACCGAAAAGACGAAAACGGTCGTGGCGCAAACCTATAACCGAAGTGTTTGCATACACTGTTATAAAAGATTATTCATGACCATCGAGATACGTACATTCGAATAGCGTGACTTGTACCGTAATCGTAGCAAAGGACCACGATTAGAGCTAGTAAATGAATGAAGTGTTTGTAACAGCCAGCCTTTTATGACTTGATAGAATATATTTTCCATATTTTACGCCCGGTGCTATTCTAGACGGCTGGCACCCCGCATGAAACGAAGTGTGTATACGTCCGAACTCAAATTTAGATTATTACGTATTTCTAAATTTAGCGGGTGAATATGTTCTTCAGTGTGCTACCAAGGGGATATCCCTTGATACAATCAAGGTAACTTTAATACAAACTTGTAACTTATGAAATAAATAACAAACTTATATAAATCCAACACCAATTCCTATGGTATTACGCGCTATAGGAATTTCTCCACGATTGCGAATTCAGCGACGGGTGTTCAGCCACAGTCACCTATTTATCGACCTCTTGCACGTTTTAATAAACGTACTATTTTTGTTGTGCGCAGGCGACTAACGTGGGTATGCAAGCCTCTAGTCTGAAAAGCAAAATTAGAGTATATAGTGCAACCCAAGATTTATGCCAAGTCTATTTATTTATAATGGCCTCTCTTAGGCTATCACCTCGACTAAAACCTCACGATTTTTGTCGCCAGCATCAGTGCTTATCAGTATTAGAGAGCCATAGTCTAGTGACCATGTTTTTCTTGACGATATTTGTGTTAACAGGCTTGTTAATTGAGCTGATTTACCTAATATAATTTAATGCCAGATTGCATTTGCAGGATTAATAAATTTAAGTCTGTTTATAAATAAAAACTACTTCGAAAGCCAGGGGAACGAAGATTTCTATGAAAGAAATATGTAAGATCATATGCTCTACAGAAATTTGCAACTGACGCATTTACGTTCTACGTGAACTAATTAGATCAATTAGATTAGGTATAGTTTTTTTTAATTCTGTTTTTTATATTTGAGTTGTGAAGGATAACAATTTTTCGTAATTTCGAAATTAGATAACGATAACATTTTCTGATCGTCTAAATTCACGCTTTTGTTGAAACGAAACAGTCCATCAAATATTTTTTATTGATTTAACAAATAACTGAATCGAGGCTTGTGTAAACATTTCAATTAAAACATCACTTTGACATATTTACGTTCAGCTTTATAAAAGCCTCACCTTCTTGAGCATCATTAGCTTGTTTAGTTGGTAGTAGTTGTGACTTAACCACCATGAAGTCAAGAATTTTACTGTTTAGTGTATTGCTTTTGCAATGTGCCGTTGCACAGGACATCGACTATAAAAAAAAAACGAGCCCGACTTCAATTTTTGCGGTAGGTAGAAAACAAGTACAGTAAGTCAGATTTGAAAAACCATCTATCTCAAATAGGTACCGATCGCTATTAGGGTGCGTTTCCTGCAAAAAAATTTGATTTGCATGAACTACACTTGATTAAGATCTAAATGTCTTTGCCCTACGTCGAACAGTAAAGCAGGCTTGTCTTAGGAACGTACAATATCAATTGTTCAGATACAGCAGGCGTAAAGGTTTGGGCCTATAAGTGACAACATAGGAGCTGCTGTTCTGGAATAGGTATTTTTGCTTACATTATAAATACAGCAAAAGCTTATGTCTATGCAGAGTTAAATCATTATTTTTGTTTGTCCTGGATAAGGTAGAGACGTGCAATCAGTTTGGCTGACCCGCAAGTTCCATAAAATGTTTCCACTTGTCCATAAACCATTTTACGAGCAATTTCACCTCAGTCCTATAGAATCTGCGTTGACACATCGAAGGTCTAAACCGCTTTCTTCATCAGTTTACAGCCTGGAGCCATTAACGGTGTTGGTTGATTGTTTTTTGGCCAAACTACCTTCAGAGGTGAGTGTCCTTATAAAATACTGTGTTATTGATTAATGTTAACCTAAGTACAACATTCAACTAGCCTAATTTTCTATGATTACTAGCAATACGAGCGTTTATGAGATCTAGAGCCTTTCGTTTTCACGACATCCTGGAAGGTGAATGCGAAAAAACAACGAGGCATTAAAACATTGTTTCTATTATTAGAACCCGAGCCTGACTTCATCTTGTCACTAGCGGCTAATGTAAGACTTTGTGGACGTATCCTTTAGAAAATATTATCTATCTTGTGACGCAATAAACATGCGCATAACTTGCATATGACAATGTTCAGAAGTATACGATAGTAATGCCGGAGACTGAAAGTATATTATTTTTTCCTACTTAATTGTATGACATTTTTATAGAAAAATACTGAAAGTCTATGAAATCATCATGTTTCTACTGCTGATTCCTATTATTTGATGATTCTAGCCGAAAAAAGAAAAATCACTCGCTTGAGTTTCGCCAAATAAGACATACCTTCGAAAATCATCAATGTTGCTCTTGAATTACGAATTGAGACCTTTTTCTTCTTTAATTTTTTTTAAATGATTTCTTCATGGCTTAAATCAGACAATAATATTAAATATGACATTTATTATGGAAACACGGCCTGTTAATGTGTAGATAATGAATTAAAGCCTGGACGTTTTGAGCTGCACATATAATTTTGTCTAGAATCCGCTGCAACGTTTCGTTGTACGGAGGCGATTTTTTTCGCCTTAGGTTATGCATAGTCAATATTTTTTCCATTAATCCTAGCGACACGTTGCGCTCTAGATTTGAACCTGGGCATAAACGCATCTCATTGCCAGCCGTGTGATGGAAGGCATAATGGCGATACCGTAGTTTAAACTCGAAACATAGAGACCATTGGTATTATCTTGTTTTTACTGTCCATTCTTTTTTCCATCGTAATCATTTCAAGAAATACAAACATCCATAAGGTAACGAAGTGTCTTGGTTATAGTTGAAGCAACAACTACAATTAAGTCGCCAGGATCCACAAACCGGAGCCTATACATATCTTAATAAGCATCTCGTCTCGATGTGTACTATATATGAAACAGTCATTATTACAAATATGAACCGCGGTTTGTACCGATTAACTTCTAGTTCGCAACGGAGTTTGCCTCAACTATTAAGGAACTCTTCGGAGGTCTATCCGTGGCCGAGGGGCTTAAACTGGTTTGTAAAAATAACAATGATGATGGCACTATGCTGGTAAGTTCTATATATTACCTTAAAAGTTCTATATATTGCCTATTATATTAAAAATATATTACAGGAAAATTATTCATGACGGTTCTCGGTCTGGAAAGCCGTACAACTTCCGGTTTCTAAGGTTGTTGACACACTATGACAAAACTAGCGGCATGTGCGTGCTCGACTTCATAACCACACGACTGCCATATACCCATCAATTGGAAACTTGAATTAACCTTTCACAAAGTTGCATAACCTCTCTATCTATATAAACAAATCGAGCAGATGTCAGTAACACAATGTTTAACTGTCTGCACATGCCCCAAAACATAGCATAGCTGTCCTTAATTCTATCAAAATATACATTAGTTTACATAGAAAGTGCAATATGTTGAAACTCGACAGAGACGAAACATCAAATAAAATAACTCATTTTCTTAAGCATTTTCTAACGCTCTTTTCAATATCGATTTTAAGTTCAACATTCGTATACGAATAAGTATGCATAGTATATGTAACAACAGTAAAACCTACAATGAGATAATGGCAAAGAAGATGCTGCTATTTTTTAGTTGGCTATTTTCAAAAAATTCATAAACATTTTCAGTTACAGACATGGGTCGACGAGTTGGACGAAGAGAGGAAGCCACGTGCCCGATTAGCTGTATGGGATTGTATTGAGGCCAATGCTGATATTGTCACCAGCTCGAAATGATCGACGAAAGAAGCAGCCAACCGTAACAATAATGGCAAAATGTAAACGCATTTTGAATGAGCTCTGAAATAAAATACAAAAAATATATTCTAGCTATTAAGCTCATATAAATTCACCTATGCATACGAGCACCTACTCACACTCCGTGTTTTACTCAAACAGAATAAAATTTTCGAAAAAAAAAATACATGACAAGGTATTGTGCTAAATTTTAGTTACGATACAATGACATATTCTATATAAGCGAACCTCCTTTATTGTTTTCTTTATAAAATACTTTTTTATTTCTAGATTTTGCAGTCTAGACAGTTCATGTTATAATAAACTTTTTATGAAACCCGTTAAATACATTATACTCTATTAATTATAATAAATAGGACAACATGCTTAGAGTTTTGTTGTGTTCCTCTGTTAGATGATGTGTCATTCCACTGCATAGTTTAGCTTAACATATACTCTCAATAGCTTTTTTAGAACACAAATCAACTTCATAAGAATTTAATTACTTTGATAGCTCAGTGCACGTATAAATGAACAATTTAAGGGTATTTTTTTATTACATTATAGTCGTACATTTTATGCAATAGAACGAGTAATTACCTAAAGAAGAAGGGCACTTTTGAAAATTACATAGTCTATCCTTTCCTTCTTACCCATGGGACACTTGCGTACAGCTTTTGGGCTTCATATAGTTCTTAGAATAACAGAAACGAAAATGGCTAGAACGCACTAAAGTACGCTATCAATCAAATAATGAGGGATAGGTCTACATAATTTGCATAGTTCATCGACCTAATTAAAGGTTATTTACACAAAATAGTATAAAGTCAGTATTCTTTGTTAAAATAGATAATTTGATAGGATATTGTTACCCATAAAGATATACTTTATTTTTATACAGCTAATATCTATCTGTTTTGTAGTGAAAAAATATACCCTGCCTTCGCAGAAATGCAGTGCGACAATCACCGGACTATTCTGGTAATTTATGCAAGCTCTAAATATGTTAAAAGCAAGGTCTACGTGCATAAATCTACGTGCAGCTATGGAGAACAAATTATTTTGAATAAGTTCTTAACATAAGTTTATATCACAATTTGGTGTACCTTGGTAAGAACATGTGTTGTCTTGATAATGAACAAATACCCCTAAATGACTTAGAGCTTTACATCGGGAAAAATAGTAGGTTTGCTGATTTTCGAATTATGCTAATGTATATATACGTATATGTGGTATTATTTGAAACCACCATACTTAATATGCGATCTTCATTTTTCGAAAACCGTTTAAAAAAATTCGCATATCTTAAGGTACCTTCACAACAACTCTGTAGCGAAACCAGTGAATGCTGTCCCATATTTGATTATACGAATACACCGTACAGTCTGCTTGGGACAATGTAGCCATAGAAAAGTGACGCCCAGCGTCTGATGCATAACTCTCTGTCCAAGTTAATATCAATAGCTTATACATTTTCCGCTTACATGAATTAAAATAAATAATCCATTTGGTATTCGTTATATCGAAGACACGCTATATGTAGTTTTACCAATTTTGTGAGCTCTACGTTTGTAGGAAATTTCTTCGCACGGGCGTACAGACTTCTCAAATCCTGAAAGGAACTAAATGCCATTATTACTATTACGATCGTTTTTATTATCAATTGCGAATTCATACTATGCATGTATAAACACAAACATGCAGGTTTACTTAGAAAGTAATATCGGTTTTTATTTGTTTCTTCGCTAATATATAAGTGTTATGTGTTAGTATAAGATACACTATTTTTTTTAGAGTTCCAACACTTATGTATATACAGAAGTATCATGACTCGAGCCTTTTAGCTATAGATAACATTTGACATTCAGCAAATGAAGATCACGAACGGAAAATCAATACACGAAAATTGCCCCTTTGTTTTTCTGATGTATGTTGATTTCAATTTTTCAAAGTGTATTCAAAAAAATCTATACATTATTTAACGAATTATAACTTTCTTTTCAGATTGTAACTAGTTGCATATAAGTAAGCCAAAATTAAGATTTGAGCGAGTAAAATCTATTGAAACTAGAAAAATATAGCAGAACTACAGAGATAATATCGCTTGAAAAAGAATGCAATTATTTAGAATGTTCATTGGGAATGTTCTGGAAGATCAAGAATATTTATGCTAAAAACAAACACTGCAAAACTTTAACAAAACACCAAAAAAATATGTACATGACAACTCATTCGTAAGCAAATGTCCGCCATATTGTAAATAAAATGTAAATAAAAAAAAAACGACGAGTAGCTTAAAAATATAAATATGATATACAGCTTTCGGGGAAGATTGTTTAGAGCGGTGCGGCTATAATCAAATTAAATAGCACAATTAATGTATATAATTGCATTTACTGGGCAACCGTAAATCCACTGTGAGACAGTCTTAGAGGAGTATTATATAAATTTATCAAGAGTCATACGGCATTTCAAGCAAAGGATCTATTGGATCATTTTTTTGACAGTACAGAGACTGATGCCGAACAGTTGGAACTTACTGCAAAAATCTGCTTGAGTAAGACCTTAATAAGAAAGGCGAATCGTATTTCTAATAAGAGGCATAAGGGGTAAGGGCATATTTTGATAGGAATTTTCCGAACAGATGGGCTAAACAAAGAAATTCATAGGGTACCCCGTCAATTTCCCAAAGCTGACGCCAATGGACTTTTTGCTGCAGGGATACCCTGAAGATAGAATCGACTTGAGAAGAAAATCGACGACAGCTGAAGATTTAAAAACCACAATCGAATAGGGATGACCCATAATACCAACTTAAATTTTTGTTGAAGCTTGGAAATTAATAGTCTATCGTTATCCAATATCACAACAACTATACTTTTGAACGTTTGCAGTGAAAGGAAACATAAGACCTTTTACGTAGATTAGTTTGCAGTTGTTATATTATTGCAAGTAGGAACCGAAGTTATAGCACATTATTAAGATGCTTCGTAGACAAAATATTTTATGTATAACGTGTGATGCTATAACTTGTACAAATAGTTGTGCCATGTTTTGATTCCGAGAATATATGAACATAGAATTTGTTGCTCGATATATGAATAATATAGCCCATTCCTACAGTGGTCCATGTGTAGAAATTTGATTATCCGTTACAGCCAGCTTGGGGCATATTTGCTAATTGAAGCTGACTTTTTATTGAAACATGCAGATTTTACAATATTCGGAATTGTGCTGCTTCAAACAGGCCAGTTGGGTGTTTTCTCTGTCACGCTTAACTCAGCGCTGTCCTATAGATCTATTGTTACCACCAATTAGGGTAAGAGATACAACAACGTGCGCCATGTGTGAAACCAAAGCCATGTAAAACTTGCCGTTAGTTATTAATTCTACTTACAAATGGCATATTAATTCTGATCTCGATTAGAAATAAGGTAATTTGACATTTTCAAATGCACCGTACTAAGCCCGAAAGTCTTTGTAAAATAGAATGTATTTTGTACAGATGGTCATTTAAACAATATTGCGGTACCAGTCAAATGGTTCGTAAGTTTAGTTTCGGGGTCTGGCATATAAAGTACATGCAGTTAACGTAATTCCAGATACGTTTGATAAATAATCACTAATTTCTAATCTTTGGATCTCAAAAAATGACATTAATATCTTAAGCAATTCAAGCAAAATCAACGAGGGAAAACTTTTCGATAGAAAGTTCCAAATAAAGCCCGGCTTTACACAGCTAGATGTAACATTAAATGTGTAAAATAAAGTTTTCCACTTAGAACTGCTCTCATTAGTATAAAAAAAATTCAACAATTCAGTCCTCAAACGGATGCCTTATGTCCTGGCCAAATCCTTATTTTGGCAAGGCAATATCTTTTTCAACTTTTAATGGAGTCATTTATTCAAATCTATTTGACAGATACTCGACGAAATGCTAAATTTTGCGTAAACCGGTACCGCCACTGTTTTCGTGTTATCATTTCACAATCTCTGACTTTGACTCTATGATTTGATTTGGAGAAAAGATATTTTAAATCTATAAAACCTGCAGCAACGATTGTATAGCTACGTCCAGATCCCTTAAAGAGATACACTCTCGTAATGTTATGTGGCACCTTCATTATTGTACCATCATTAATTTTAAAAACGACTTGCAGAAAGTCAGCGGCCCAGCCCAGTTTTTTTTCTGCCTTCGCACTTTGTTGAACGTTGAAAAAGAGCAGGTGCGGCATAGAACTTGCGGTTATGTGTTCGATGGGGGGAATATTATTATCCAAGCAGATTTACTTATGATTAGATCTTTTTTACACGTGCTTGAATAATGCTCACGTGATGGTTACACAAAAATGATTATATAACTAACTCCTGCTGGTCCTAACTAAAAATGATGTTGTTGTTCTTGTTGTCTAACATTGTGTGTTTTCAATTAAACTATATTTGTTATTTAACCTTACGTTTTACCCGATCTGTATACTGTAGATAACAACGCATACGCACATTTTGATATTTGTCAAAAAAGATGGCTAGCGATTTTCTCACAAGTACGCTAAAAATTTTTGACATTCTGATACTTATACTGACCAGTTACGCCTTTTTCACCCTTCATTAACCAATTCATAAACACATATCATAACTATCGCTCATAAAAAAATAGGTTGTCACGTTTTGGTATTTAGCTTAAGACCCTATTTTAATGAATGTTCTGCTTTAGGATTCTTTAGGATTAAATATTTTCGAAATGGCAAAAAATTTTACCCTTAGTTAGCGTTTATCGTGGTTTATAAGAAAAGCACAAGATTGAAAGAAATCATATTAGATAAATTGAATCGTTTACATCTTGCAACTCTCGACTATATCGAATGATGCAATGGGTTTTCTAGGTTACCTCCTTCATTAGCTTTAAAGAGTAAGAAAAAACTTTGGCAGCGGTGGGATTCGAACCCACGCCCCTAGAGACTGGTGCCTAAAACCAGCGCCTTAGACCACTCGGCCACGCTACCACTGGCATACATACCGAACACACTGATGACGCTGATTGGTTAACTGTCACTATGCGCTAACTGAGCGACTTTTCCTCTTTAGCAAATGTAGACCGGACAGTCTTTACACTGCCTTTCTTTAGCGAGCTTAATATATTTCTTAAGCTATTTTCATATATATATATATATATATATATATATATATATATATATATATATATATATATATAATTATGCAGTTAGTATGCACAGATAGTATACAATACAAAAAAAATTATATTAACATATTCAGTGATCTTCACCTTACTGCAAAGCCGAATGTAAAATATGTTTTTGGCCACAAACTAAGAGTACCTTGCTATACATTTGGCCAAAGTCAGGAGAAGAGGACATTCATAACAGCTTTTCTATGCAGTCAGGTTGGATATAAAACATACTTTAACGATTTATCTTAAAGGACGTTCTTCGACATCATTGGTAAAGAGAACGTTTCATTTATTTAATAAGCATAGTTTCCAGCTGCCTGAAAAATCGAACAATCACCAATAAGGACCTTCGTTCGACGTGATAGCAAAGTTTTCCAAGAGCTCCGTACTCGAACTTCCCTCTGGGATATCGCTCATGACGAGTTACTTATACTTGATGATTTGCCGCTGGGAGTAAAGCTCGTGACCTATGCTGATGACTTAGCAGTCACAGCCACTACCCGTTCCTCGGAAGAATTACAGATGCGCATAAATCAAACATCCATCAAAAAGGTCAAATGGCTTAAGGAAATAGGACCTAAGCACCGACCAAGTCGGAAGGGTATTTAAAGGAAGTAATGCACACAGCTGAACGTCACCAGGGAAGGGGAGAAAACCAAAGCACTGCCTACAGTAGCACCTGGGGGGTCATCCTCGACCAGAACATGAAGGATCGGCACACATGCGTTACGCAGCAGCTAGGGTGGAAAAAATCTCGGTAGACCTACCAAACATGATGCCTAACATTAAGGGTTCGCGCAAAGGCCAACAAAGACTCCTCATTCCAGTGGCTGAATCCATAGCTCTCGAAGCGTGGACAAAACTGCCTGCAACAGAAAACCTAACGAACAAGTTATTTGACAAGGCTCGAATGACACTAGTGCTCAAAGTATTCCAAATACATCGTACCGTCAGCAGGTAGACAGCACTTATTTTGTCAGGTTTATTTCTTTGCGATGTGACACCAAAGGAGAGGCAAGGAGTATGGTCACATCTCTAGGTGGAAGCAATGTCAGACGAGTAATAACGCGGGAACCAGAATCTAGGACATAATCCCAAACTTGAAGCTATGGATGAAAAGAAAGAGACAAAAATTAGCTTTTTACCTAATGCAGTTCCAAATGGAATATGGACTTATTCAGAGCCTTCCACTTCAGATGAAGAATCATATTCTTTCTAAAGAATTTAATCAGGTTCTTGTATACTGTACGGCAAACTAGTTTTCGCTGTAAATGTCGCTATACAATGACGTTCGCTATAGAAATCGCTTTATCGAGCTCAATGTTTGACTACAGCCCAACGTTTCCCAATTAAACAAAAACGGATTTCTTCAGTCAGCACTAGAAAATAGCAGATTGTTCGTTAGACATGTGGGCTATGTAGCCAAGCTCTGGCAGACGATACCGATTTATATTGCAACTACTTAGTTACGGTTCTATGGTAAGCGTTTCTGTAACAATGGTAATGTTATGGTACCACGTGCATTTTGTGAGTTACGCGATATGCTATTATAGATCGAATCGGTTTGATTCAGTGTGTTCGATCTATAAATATTAATTAAAGAAATTTACAGAGAATCGGAGATTTGAGAATTCCGAAATGGCGACCTAATCAGGGAAAACTACATCTATGCCGCATAGGTGAATATGGATTTGTTTGTAAATATGTTTATCGTATAACACAATGGAAATAGAAAAAAAGCATGGCTATTTCTATTAGGTAGACACTCTCAGCGAGTTTAGTAGGAGAGGGCTAAAACGAATCCGACAGAGTAATAAAGTGTGGCGATCAACAAAGTACAGCCGATGTTTTCTTGTTAATGGGGCAATTTATGGGTTCGGATTGCCTTACTTGAATTGCCTGGATAAAGAAACATTGACAGATGTTTCTTTATCCAGGCAAAAGCCCGTACCATGTTCGAAGGACGTTAACTGATTTATTTAAATGACTCTACATTAGTTAAATCAACTGAAGTTAACCATAATACAAGTCCTGTTCATTGTTGCCCTTTGAACCCGAAAATAATTGATTTATATATGAATATTGAGACGTCGAGACTCGTCATATTGTACCGTAGATTTGCAGGACAAAAACAGCCTGATATGTTCGACCAACTGTCATTCCGTAAAAATATAACAAAATATCTCTCAAGCGTTGTTGGCTTGTGCAGTAACGCAATAGACAGACAAAGTATGTAAGTGTGTCAAGTCAAAGAGTATCCGCTCGAAATTAGGGGTTAAGAAGTGATTATCTCTCACTTACCAACTGTGATATGACAAAATACGTTTGTACGGGACATTCTAGTTGTACTCATTTTAGGAGTTTGCTTCCCCCCAAAAGCCTATCCACGTTTACGAAAAAAAGGGATCCTATAAGATAGCGAACACTAAAATGACTGTTTTAGACGAATACATCGAGTTTAATAATTGTTGCGTTTGAATATTTATCGTTTGTTACCGTTATGTGTCATCTTTAACGAAATAGGTAATCGTCGACCCTGTTCGCATACAGAGGTAACGAATATCCATATTCATAATAGTTCCATTAAGTAAATCAGAAGATTTACTCGAATACTAAACGGCGACCTGCAACTTATCTGTAGCGAGGTCGTTCGGCGTCCACTCATTGCATCATTGATAGCTATTCTTCTTCCAGTCTGCCGTTCTATCCAAATTTGGCGTATGATAGCCTTCTTTCCGTGTTTTTTTTCGTACGCGACATAAGGGAATACTTTTGCGTACATTGCACTACCGACCGAGCCTTAACGTCACAACCTGACGTACAAAAAACGCTATAGGCTGGTCGGTAAAGCCGTCTTGGCATTACCCCAGTCCGTTTTTCCCCATCTAGCATGTTGTTGGTGGCCGCCACTGGGGAACAATAGCATCATGATGATGATAAACGCTAGCGGCCTCTCTCAACAAAAACCTACTTTAAGTCACCGTCGACACTTTTTACTGATGGAAAGCGGCTCCACTGATGGAGATACGGTGGAGCAGCGCTATCGACAACGTTGACAAAGCTCTAGCTGGCTAGAAACGATCGTTGAACGTACAGTCAACAAGGCTATACGACGTGTTGGCAAGCTAATGAGTCACGATATCTGCGGCAAGGGAATATATTCACTCAGCTTTGACATGTTTGTCATTGTTTAGGCTTGGACGTAGTTCAGCCAACTTTGTCGGCTGGCGCTGTTATCGATATGCGAACCAACTTGTAAGGCACGCGGATTGTTCGCCTCTCGTTCACTAGAGTTCTTATATACGAACTTGTAGTCGTTCCCAGCAACACGTACGTGAGCACTGTCGATTCAAAAACCGTATGATGACGTACTGCGGACGTAAGTCAGAATTTAGCTTCTATATACACATAGATTTTTGCTAAAAAAGTCTATGTGCATATATACCTTAATATATAATTATAATAATAATATCTTAATATATAATAATAATATAATTATAATATATAACAAAAGATAATTATTGCTTCTTTTATGTAAAATATGTAATGTATGCCGTATGGAGTTAAGTCGTAGCTTAATCACATTTTGACATTGTCCAGCAGTTCTAAACACGGACGTATACAGCTGGCGCGTAACAGAAAACGAAGAGACAAAATAAATTCATAGGTCAGTAGTTTACACGCATGTAAAAATATTTACCTATAACGGATAAACGCAATGTTATCGTTCAGTATAGCTCGTATGTCGGAAACAAGTAGGTGTGTAGCATATAACTGCAATCCTTATATGCTACACACCTTTATGTTATGAGGTATGCCTCCGTAGAACATCGATACATTTTTTGCAACTTGCGATTTTAAAAATATGATTTCTGAGTTAATAACATGACTACGTAAAAGTTTGGAAAGATAGTTGTGCGACAGTGAGAACAGCCTATTTTATATTTACATAAAAAAGAAACGCAAGTCTCTAGGAAAAGGCGACCAAAGTGGCGGAATCACTTGCACGACGCCTAAATACTGCACGATGTTTATAAGTAAAAGAAGAAAAGATAATATGAGGAAGCGTATTGCAGACATCGTGGCATAAGTCTTAGGGGAGACTTGCGCAAGATTTGTCGTAAAACTATGCCTTGACCATCTACTAGGCTGTCAAGATGGCTGAGAATTCCTTTGATCAGTAGAGTAGCAATGAAATTACGGGAAAAGTTTATAGGCTATTAGTGCCAGCTCTTTCATCGAGTGCAACGACTGCTCCATGTAAGTGAACACATGAAGTTCGGTGGTCCGTCAGAATGAAGCAGCTCTTCATTCGTTGCATGCCTAGCCCAGAAGCGTATTTTTTCTTCCTTTTTGCTGTAAAGCGATTCAGCTATGTGGATTCTTCTATCCATCAATAACTCCATAAAGGAAAGAAATCAACCGGTTCCACTGGAATATTGTATGATTATTGTCAGAGCATCTCTTCTAATCTGTAAATATTTACACTCCGCCAGAAATCATTCATAATGCAAGCACAACGTATTATTAATACTAATGTACATTCAGCGACTACTGATTTATTAAGTAGTTCGCAAACTAAACAAACTGAAAAATATAAACTAAGCAGAATACCTAACAAGCAAATCGAGTGGCTTGCAAGTCAGAATAATTACGACGATATGTTTCGAATATTTATTCAGCTTTGCATTTGATAATAAGTGTTCATTTCCACTGGGCCAAACAACAGCCAGTCTTGCGGGTTGTTTCTGACAAAGAGGATAATGTCTGGTGAAAATCTGACAAAAAACTATGCCTTGTTTTCCTTGACAGCCCGCACCTACCGCGCCTTGTGCCAGTGGGTGCCCACCAGTGGCTCACACATCCCCCTGCACGCCGTTTACGGTGGAAATGATTCAACGGGCGAAACTCTGTACATTGGTCGTTCAAAACACGATGAGGATATCATTCCCGGCAAAGTTGTACCATCTCACCAGTGTTGCTACGTGCCTTGGGGCGGTGAGGAGAACCGTTACGGACAATATGAGGTGCATACATTTGACAGGGCAATTATGCTGCCGGAAATCATCGTACATCAATCATATATTGGTTGGGGTTTAGCTGGCATGTTTTATTGTTATAGCTATTCTATTTTTCAGTTCTAGTTTGATAAACTAGTAAATTAAGTAGCCTCACAACGACCACTTAGACATTGGGCTCTTTTAGACCACTGTCTTTCACATAGGGCGTTACCACATTTTAAAGAAGGAACAACATCCGTCTGAAAAATCGGAGCGAATGTCGGATTGAAGCTGGTCTAAAAGAAATCTAGTCAACTAAGTATATTTGACATCTAGCTATTCGACCGAAGTCTAAAGTCGTTTTCGACGATATTTTAATATGTCAAAAAACTTCATTAAAAAGGTTTTCATTGGTCTCGTTGTATGTCAATGCAAAGCCGTGACAAATCCCTTAGAATCGACTAGCGGAGACGCTTAGGGAGGCATATTAAGGGCTACCACCCCAATTACTACCTTCCAGCACTATAATTCACGCGCGTCCCCCAGTTCGATGGACGGATGTAGATTAGAATATTGTTATTAGTTACTACCACTCGCACAGATTCGCTTCCTAGCTTAACCGTTGACCCATAAAGACATTTTTGATTTATAAATATTTTATAACTGAGGCAGTATTCCATGCGTCATGCATATTCTGCCGACACAAATCGTATAAGACGTAATGATTATATCCTATCTAGTGTATTTTTCCAAGGTATGAATGGTGCGTATGAACTTCGGCATGAACGTGCCCCGCCCTGTATGTTATCTTTATAGCCCTAATGTATAACACCATGCATATTGTCAGCATAAACAAGAAGTTTTTAAACCCATTTAGTGATTTACCATGTCTTGACGCCCATTAGAATTCGCTGTAAGCCGGTCGGTCTTATCGCAAACTGCCTATGTAAAGCATTGCTATTTCATCGACATTTTTCAATCCTAAACACTATGTATAGGTTATCACGCGAACTCGTAACGCCCATTGATTCAGTTGACTGTCTCTTTAGTCTAATGCATGGTTAGCTATGTTATCAAATCAAACCTTATTTAGTCACCTTTGCTGGTAGTAAATCTCTACATATAAAATAGTAAACACCCCATATACAGAGACCAACAGCACACTATCCCAAGATCAGAACAAGTGTAGGGAGCCACTAGAACACTGTGTTACATTGTTGAATTTGAAAAATTAATCTGACAGATTTGCCATGTACTCTAAAGATGATACTGAAGGGCAATGATGTATCATAAGTTTCCCTGCATCTATATGTATCGTCTTTTCGTGAATACCCTCATTCCTGCAACGTTTATGGTGGAACTCATGCACGACAGAGTAACTGACGACGCCTCTTTTTAGTGGGTTTGTATCTTCCGCTAGTTGTTCTCCGCCGCACTCAAAGCAAAGAAGACACCATCAATAACCACAAACCTTTTTCTTCGCTCTTGGCTCCTATGGTTGGCCTTAGAAACTTCCATTGCTGGGAACTCGAAGCAACGACATAGGTCCTCGCTAGGAATTATGCGAGGCGACTTCGGGCCATTATGTAGTTTCAGTGCTCTTTTGAGGAAAGAGACTTTGATGTAATTCAGTTATTGGAGGTTCTTTATTATAAGACATACATATACTTATAAGTAAATAGCTTAATTTTGCAGTGGTGCATATCGTGTCATAATTGAGTCGTTTCAGAAAAAAAAAGCTCGTTTCGCCTTAAAGCATTAAAACAAAAACAACTAATAATAAATCATTCTTACGTCAGAACTTACATCATTTTCGCATCGTTATGATAACTTCACTTTATTTTTTCAGTTCACACTTGACGACTTCATTGAAAGAGATTAAGCAGTAGCACCAAAGTAATACTAATTTATTATTATTTTGACATTATCAAATCATTTTACCAATTGCGTTTTTGCTTATTGTTTTCACTTACAGATCCTTGTAGCCCAGTCAGAGTCTGAGTTCGCCTGGGAGCCCGCTAGTGATGGTCGTCTTCCCACTGGAGCTGTTCAGGGCGGAGCCACCGGGACGGGTGAACCTTTGTACATAGGCCGTGCTCGCCACGAAGGTTCTCTGACGATTGGCAAGGTTCAGCCATCTCATCATTGCTGTTACATTCCGTACGCCGGTCAGGAAATTTGCTACACAGACTACGAGGTACTCGTCTGCCGAGTGATCCGTCTGTCGTATTGATAAAGTTCTCCTAATAATAAAAAATAACGACGGACAATTGCGCGTACGCCGTATATTTGACGGATACGTTAACGACTCTAGTGCCCTGACCGCATTCGTATCATAAGTCACGACCAAAGTGCGAATGAATAAGGCTACTACCGGTATTCTTTCTTCTGCAGTACAATTTTTATTCGTTTCTATATTATATCTGGATGCAGACAATTCTGTTGTGGAAAAAACCGCACTGAAACTCGGAGAACACTGGGTTCGATAAATAGTTCTAGCCATTTATGTGTTAACCAGTGATTTGAAAACCATCAGTTTGTTCTACAAATATGCAGAATTTTTACTTTAGAAGGGTTTTGCTAGCTTTTAGTAAGCGTCAATGCAAGCGTCCCAGTTATTGAATACTAATATAGACGGGAAATGTTTATCGTCCTGCAAAAATCCACCATACCGGCCAAGTCAGAGCCTTGTATTAGTATTTCAAAGACGTGTGTGGGTGTCTCTCACTAATGATTATGTTTTATATACGCATAAATAAATATAACGTGGGAACGTAAACGCAGTTGATTTTCTGTTTCCAACTTTCCTCATAGCAAATCATAACTAACACGCTTAAAATTATGAAATATAGTGCATAAGCTTTTTCTTAGAAATCGTATGAAACATTAAGAGCTACACGTGTATGTTTTAACGGCGGCAATCCAAATCTCGGTTTGTAGATAGCACCAAGTCAGCGCCTTCGATTAAATAATAAGCCTCCTAGAAATCTAGCTTCGAAATTATTCCGAGACATAACAGTACTCGTAATATGGCAAAAATAAAGACCAAGCCATAGTTACAATGTTTGGATGAAGCCTTTCCGGCTGCGAGTGGTGAAAAAAATGCTATCTGAGGCCAAATATTATTGGTTGGAATAAATTATATTCGGAATAAATAACAAAATACTTTGTATAGCAGCCTATAGTTGATTCGAATTAAATTTTTCGTCTTTTTAGGTACAAACTAAGTAAACTGTCGAAAATTAATGTATAAACCTTTTATATCTGACAGGCGAAAACATTTAAAATGATCTAGTCTACGAAGCAAGTATCTAGGTTATTGCGTTGAGTTATTATGATTGACAGTTAAAATGAAACTTGTATAGTACATAGAAAGCGAACCCTTCTCTATGAGCAGGTTGCTTTTACGTGGGTATTGTTGACAGAATTTATACTGTTTTGTTTGACGAAAGGACTATCATCGCTGACTAGCCTAATACCCAGATGGCTTCGGTATAGTTAAATTCCCTACGAGTCAAGCTGCCATTCCTGTTAGGAAACTGACACGGATGACCCAAATTGATTTGAGTTTAAACGAAAAAATCGATATCGTTGTCAACAAATCAACTAAGCGGGCTATAGTTATAAATCATTCGCCTGATTGACAGCTTAAGGCTGACTCAATGGTTCGTATAAGGTTAGCTGGATAAATGTCAATTGAAATATATCGGTTTATGGTTTTGCTCATTTTGCTGTAAACTACACCCCTTTCTCCCCTGTCAATGCTGAATCAAATACTTCTAATTGAACCCACTGACCAGACCAAATGATACTGAACGCTTCTGTACATACAGCCAATGTACAACCGCATGCTGCCTTTTTTCCAGTAAATAGCGGCGTAATGTAACAGTTTCTATACAAACAGCGAACTTCTTTTTCTTAAACATACTCTCATGGAACGAATTACCTTTGAAGGTAAAGTAGTTACCTAGTAGTTACACAAATTATGTAGTATAACATTTTAAAAAAGTACGTCAGTATGTTTGATTATACGTATAAACATATTTCGTCCACGGGTATATATACCCATGGATATATATATATATATTGTTTGCCTATTTTTTTCAAATTGCTTGGATCAGTATACAACTTCTTCGGATTCTGTTTTTATATATTCATAGTCTTCTAATCAATTTTTACATAAAACTTACTGGCGACATACTGTTTAAAAGATTATTATTATCAGTATTTTATAAGAACAATATTTCCCGATAGTTAGCATGACGTAGTCGATGCTACTTAGATTCTAGTAGCTTGAAAAGGATCGTCGCTATTGAGACATTTACCCCAGCTAGCGTCTCCCATTTCATACATCAGATGTTCTAGTTTCCTTACTTATTGTCTATAACTTCTGTGAAATGCTTTTCTCGATACAACATTTGCAAACTCGTCGGCCATATGAATCTATAGGAAAACGACGTTACCAATAGATGTAGCAACTACTACTAAGAAAACTACGAGTGATGCGAAATGTCATAAAAGTCAGGTCTATTGTTTGACACAAGACCTTTAGCCATTTGCACGATTGAGCCACGATTCACAACGATACAATATCCTGGCCATTTTACTGGTACTGAAAATTATTTTGATTAAAAAGACATGGATAAGAGATACGTTTCACTTGGGTTTTCCGTCCTACGAATGCAGAACATGTTTACAGTTAGAGAAATGGACCCGTAACCTGGCTGCACCTGTCGAAAGCATTAGCATACTGTGTCTGTCAAGCATGAAATAATTGACCGCTACAATTTTTCGAAGCTGTGCGACCAAACTTAAGTACAGAGAATGTCAGATGGGGCGGCAGCAAAATTTGAGAGTTGCATATGGAGTACGACTCTAGTGATTAACGATTCTCTGCAAGAAAACGTAACGCCCGCTCCGGAGCAGTGCCCCTTCTTCGCAATTCGCCTCACGTTTCTAAGCATCACAACAGTATTCTGTATCTTAGGTTTAACGGTTTTTGCTAATATTTTTATCTTTGAGTATCGGCCAGGTTTTACGTCAGTGGCTCAACAGCACGGCATTAACACATTTGTACTGGCTATTACTCTTATAATAGGACCAATAGTGGTTCTTATCATTCAAATAATGCATTGTGGAGTGGAAGGAAGCCCCTCTGTTATAGCGGCGGTGAAACTACCGAAGGGCCACTCAGAGCTACAGCCAGCCGAGTTCCCTAAATCCAAAGAGATAGCCGGCACGGTTTAGCTACCACGGAGTGCAGGTGATTCCAGGACCTAACAGCCCTGTTAAGGTTAAACACAGTAGTTTAAGTAGGATACGTAGAAAAGCAAAGGTTAATGTTACTAACGAGCACTTGTTGTACATATTGTTAATTTTATTCATTGATTGAAAGTTGATTATTTTCTATTACAAGATCTTTATAAATACAGTTCCATTACTGAGCGGACTGTGTTATAAACTGTATAAAATGAAACGGCAAAGTATCTAATTCCGTTAAGGGATATAAAGTATATTTACATTCAAAAAAAGGAAAGTGTTCTGCTTAACTGCTTTCAGTTATAATTACTCTAATTGATCCAAAGAAAACAGTGTATCCCAAGAGCGTAGTATAACCGGATAAATGCCCATTGTGAGGACATATTGTGGTTACAGAAAATAAATTAATGTGATTTGAACTGTCGACCTTCAAATGACTTCGAGCGAGCGGCAGCCTTGCCAATATTATTGTTAAGTGCTAAACGATGATATATACATTTTTTACTCAGGGCAAAAAGTTGTTGCCCTCAAAACCCTTCGCTAAATTTTATTAATGACGCTCTTGTGTTAAATAAGACAAATATTCGCTTTGTAAATTCGCTTTGATCTTTGAAAGTTAGTACACTCAGATTGTGCCCTTCAATATATGTCCATTCTATAACTTTGACACATGCGTCCTTCTTGACTGATAGATAAATTAATAAAAATAGACAATACGAAATGAGACGGCAAAAATACATAATTCTGTCAACGAATGTGAATTATTAATTATATACAAAAAGTAATAGAAGTATTCTATTCAATTATAATCACTCTAGCCTACCCACAAAGAAAAACGGTGGATTTTAGCAGCGTGGAGGGTTTATGTTGGTAACCATCTTGCGCAACTGTTTCCGTATAACAAAATAATGCATTCCACTTTATAACACAAGACACTTCCGTTTTTATATATGGTGACTTTCTATTTTAGATAGTGCATAGTATGGAGCAATTTAGGACTTTAAAGAAAACCTATTTCCAGTTTCGAGTTCCGTAGAAACAAGGAACAGCGACTTACACATGAACTGCCAGGAGACATACACACCTATACACCGGAATAGAGAAAATATGTATCTTCCTTTCTTCTGAGAAAGAGTGCGGGCATATGATGCGTCCTCCGAAGCCTCAACAATTAGTCGGATCGCGGGATCAGCTGGGATCGATGCTTATAAATTACTTTTTCCTTTAGTGTACAAATTAGGGATGTGTTTCTTGGAAATCTATTTTCTCCCTCTATTTTAACGTTTTTAACTGCAAACGTAGCTGTTATATTCTCGAATGTAGGCTGAAGAGTCCTTGATCGTCTTCGGACAATACCATGAGTGACGTTGGAGTCCCGAGATGTCCACGGTACGGTTGTGCCCTGTATTCTTTGACATTTAAGAGCTTTTCGGAGAAGTAAGATTAACCAGTGTTACTACAGAACTCTTGCTGGCATTTGGTTAACTGTATGATATAGTTTTCCAGATCTGAATTTGTGTATTTAGAAGAGACAATATTTACAATCGGAAAATATTTAACGTATTTCACAGGATGAGCCTTCGTTCATTCAAGCCCAGATAATACCTTGGTTGTATGCCCAGAAGTCAAAACCCGATTTTTTGCTAAATTGCGGTGAAAAAAATGGCTGAATATGTGGCTTTTCGGGTCTAGTCTTACGCCTCCACCCTACAACTCTACGTAATTGGTAAAATAAATTACTTAACATCTCGGGTTTAGTACGTCCTACTATACAGGCCTTTTCCATAGGGAGATCCTACGCTAGCATATTGCAGTTTACTTCGAATAGGCACTAAAATTTCGTTCCATAATCATGTTATTCTCTACCCTGATAATATCACTATGTTCATAATATATAGTACATGGGTGTAATATATGAATCTAGGGGCCATCAGCGTGTTCACAGAATGGAGGCCTTTTTAGCCCGAGTTCCGGCCTCAGTCGCCGTTGGCGGACAACTATCTGACGAAGAGTGGCTGTATTAAGCTCCTAGTTAGCCGTGTAAGATATACGCGGCTGAATTTAAATAAAAAAAAAAAACGAATGCTTGCTTACGGGAAAAGCACTGACAACTAACTAATGCATGGCTAGTTTTCTCGCCAGCAGTTATGAAGGAAGAGCGTCTAACTCGTATCTTTTCTTTTCATGAACATGTACCTGTACAATTTAGCAAAGCACAAGGAGTGTTTCGGAGCGGAAACCGGTGAACCTCGGCCTAATAAAGCCCATAAGAAAGGCGATATATGCAACCTATTGCAAGTTTCTTATTGAAATAACGCCTGCCCACCACCACTGGGTTGAATTTGCTAATGAATTTCCCATTTCGTGTGATGTGACATAGGTTGATCATGGTTTATGGTTATTTTATAGATTCATTATGTATCATTTTATAAGTTCATGTTTTACCTTTCTTCTATTGTTCACCATACCCGAACAAATTTAACTAACGCTAAAGCAAATACGGACACCTGGGAAATCGACCTCGTCAGCACACAGCTACATCCTTGGCAAGTATTTCATTGCAGAGAGTACGACGAAATATCCAAGAACGATGAGCGGCATGTATGTAAATGGAATACGCGTGTAAGTGAAGTCCGCTCATATATTTTTTGGACACTGAATCGTATTTTCCAACGTTACTATCGGTTTTAATTCAGAAATCAATATAGTCTCAGTTCTAGAGTATACGTGGCAAATGTCGATTATATATACAGTCTTAGTTTCGTTTTACATGGCCATGGCTGTTGGCTTGATGACCGGTGATTAGCCTCAACAAGCACAAGCAGCACCCGAAAATGGAGTTCCGATGGTAGTAGGCTTTGCCTGTACCCCTGTCGACGAAAACATCTTGCATCAAACTCATTACGCAGTGCGAAACGACATCGCCTGAATAAGGTTCCAAATCTTTGCGGTTGAGCCGCTCATAGCCCAGATAACTATCAGACTATACAAGCAAATAGTAGTAACAGTGATGCTCACCGTGTGACCGAAGTGAGAAACTGCGAAAAAAAATTCCCAATATTTTGCCATTTGAGGTTAACAACCGATTACCTATGATAAACCGTACACACAACTCCCCAGTGATGCATCGCAGTCGGCTATGTAAGAAGAAAAAAGTATTTTTTTAAAATAAGTATCTTCTTGGTAAGCTGTGCTGCACTCATTCTTAAATCATTCAAGAACGATTCCTTTTTTTAAGAAGCTGTGCAAAAGCGTGTCACCTAACGAATATGTTCATTGATATCTTTGAGGTTATATTCAGAAAAAGTACAGGGTTTACGATGCTTGATAACTGAGCTAAGGTCATTAGGTTTGACCAGCATTTGCTGATTACAGCATTGCGAGACTCAACAGTTTGGGATGTTAGTTAATTACGATTACTCTACTCATAGAATCCAAACCATGAAATTCACTAATTCGATCACTCAATAGATTTCGCATCCACCACCTACAGGATATCCTTGAAGAGGATTATAGTCGCGATGTCCATATAGACACTCTCTGCCAGTTCTACCTGCTACGATGTCAGCCCTGTATACGGCTAGTAGCCTAGTAGACTACAAATTTTTAAATAAACAATAAGAAACAAATCTAGCTCGTTACGATGCACCTTGCCGGTACAAGAGACTTGGCCCATCTCAAACGTAGATGCTGTTCATAACTTGTCCGCAACAGCGCTCCTCCGTATTAAAAGTCCTCCAAAAATAATCCGATTAACGGCGCAGATAGAGAGATCAGTTCCGTTCAGTGTTGTCCTTCTATTTTTTTTTTTGTTTTTAGTGGGTATAGGCACAACCGACTGCTTAATCATTAATCGTCTTGTGAGTAACCGTTTGCAAAAGTTGTTCTCATAGTGAACGGTATGAACCTTCTTTCGTTTATTAGCTCATTGAACATCAGCGATGATCATAAGCAGTTCAATATAAACTGGAATCTTCAATCTGTCCTACCTATCACCTGCCATACCTATCACGTATACACAGTGACGATCATAAGAATTGTATGTATGAGTAACGTGTCACTATCTTGTTGCAGAGGGAAATCAAATTTGAATACTTTCTGAGGAAAGCGAATACTGGACAGCATACACAGGCTATAAATTCTCCGATACATGGTGAATATACAGTATCTATATTGCTTATTTTATTCTAAAGACTTTACAGGATTTAAGGGTTCGTAATCTTAATATAATCATAGATTACGAATATATAATTAAAAACCTTGAGATAATTAATTACATATCGTCCTAAGGAAATTTGCAACGCACTAATCTCGGAATGCAACAGGGCATAAATATTGTTCAGCGTACACAGTATTTAGCGATATTTAGAGACAGATATATTTTGGCGGCGAAGCTCTAAGACAGGCAGCAGGCTCGAACGGGTTTCAAGCAACCTACAACTGATACAATTACCAAAGGAAACAACCTATTACGCGAACGCGTTATCGATTGAGGTCAACTATAATGTAATCTTTACCCAAACCATACTTCCCATATCATCTGTCAGACTTTCACGTTTGTTTACTATATAGGTCAGCCATAATTTCCATCTCATTGACAATTCGTGTTTATATTCATGCAGGTCCAGTATAGAGGCATTTTGCGTCACTGGGTGGTCAGGTATTTTTCGGTAAGAAAAAACAACTCGAAGAGAAAGAACGTTTACTTACCAAAGAGCTGGCCCTTTTTCCGCTTTTTTCACTGAGCTTGGTTATGGTAGGACGACAATGTGGTACAAACAATATTATTTCGTATTAGATATGTTCGCCTGACTGCGGCCTTTTGATATGTAGCAGCTCGATATGCCTACTATTGCACGCAATGCCCATTACGGCAGGTCTATTATTATTTAGTTCTGTTTACTGCTGGTAATTGGCCTCTACAACCACTGAAATTGATTGTAAAGGCGAATTCGTTACTATGAATTCGAACATTGATGATGCGCCACTCAACTGTTAAAAAGTGGTATGTAAGTGGTAAAAAACTGTGGTAAAAAGTTGCATGTTTTTAAAAAGCCTTGTAATTTACCTCATATGTTTACGGCTAATCCTAATCCAATACCGCAAATTGCAAGTGGCACCCTCTGCAGGTTAAAAAAAGTATTTTACAGTGTACATTTATCTCGAAGATGGCGTACAAATGGCTAAATATATAAATAATAATAAATAATAATAAATATTCCTTCGAAAATTTTTTTTAGACAATTTGCTACTTTGAAACAGATTTTTTCTTCCTTTCAGTGATACCTTTTATTGTGATTTGCCGTCGTTTAAGAATTGCGAATAAAAAACGTTTGTTAGGGAGGTCGATTATTGTAGATCAACAAACGCAAACAGTTTTGAGTAATCGCTGCTTTTTGCATCTTTTATATAAATTTTTGACTGAGAAGCCTGCATAATGAGGTAGTATCGGCGAGAACGCGGCAGCACATGTAAATTGATGTGGTCCTGTACCTGCAAATTGTTATCATTGTGTCATCTATGAAATTTTATGTCAGGTCGCACATTTCGCCATAAAACTTATGCATATCTTGTTTGTATTTTTTTTTCATAAATAGGTACTATTGCTATGGAGCTGAAGTGCTGAAGCGGAGTGAGGACAGTAAGTAGGTTGGTTCGATAATTATGCTATTATGGATTTACAGAGATTCTACGGAAAATAAAAATATGCTACTGTCATGTTGTACGTTGAATTGATTCGCATTTAGTAAACTTTCCAAGTTGGAAAAAGTTTTGGCACAGCTTCGCAGGCCTCAATATAAGAATTTGCAAATTCGACTGCAAAAAGGAACACGTGTAATATTTATTTACGTTTAGTTTACGTTTACGTTCCTCATAGAAATTAGAGGAAACGACATATCCATCTAATACTATAGAAATAAACATCTCAAAATAACCTTACTTGTATGATATGTTTTCTGAATCTATTGTAAGAAAAAGAAAAACATGATTATTATATTATTTTTAATGAATAAATTAATTGATGATAATATACAGTAATTATTTATTTATTATATATTACAGTATTATATAGGGATAAGGTGTCAACGATAAACGAGATATCACACTTCGTCAGAGAAACATTTGCTTTATTTTTTTTTTTAGTTAAAAGACCACCGTTAGACCGAGATTAATATTAACAATGTAATATTCGCATAACGCATAACGAACGAGAAAATTAAATGCAAAAAAAAGGCTAGGAAGCAAGATTGATACTTTTGCACGCCAGTACTTCGTAGTACTCACAGGGGATCTCTTTTCCATCATAGGGAATATAACACACCTGCAATGCAGTGTACATCATTAAACAATTGTAATTAAACTTGCCAAACGCTCTCTTTCATTCACATCGTACTCGTTTATAAGAACAAACTCTTGCATGAAGGTAACAAATTTGCAATGATTATAATACAAACTGTTCTCACATAATATCACTCTTTCGAGCCACATCTGATGTTAATAAGATGAAATACTGCATCTATGGTTTCACTAGACCCATTTTTTTTTATTAAACCGAATGTGTAGGTCTACTTTAAAAAACTTGCTATAGTTTTCAAATCCCACGACATCAAAATAGTAGCAATCAAATGCAAATTTATTTCAAAGGTATTAACTAAATAAAAGTAAGCCTTAAATTACGATCGGTAGCTTCTACGCTAAATTTATCAACTTCATCGGTACATATTGCATTTGTCTGAATCACAGACCGAATCGCCATTTACCTTATGCGAAGGATGGACTTTTCCAATGGTCAGCGATCCATCATGCTCGGCACGTCCGATGAAAAGTTTCTCCGCATCACCTGTAACACCACCCTGAATCGCCCCAGTAGGCAGCTCGCCGCCTTGGCACGAAGCCCATGTGAACTCATGATCATGTTCAGCCACAAGGATCTGAAAGTACAAATTAGATTGGTACATAATTTAGATAATAAAAATATAACAGTACAAATTCGTCAGTAAGATTAACAGAACTAGCACGATATCCACATAGCTACTACTTATAATATACCATAAAATACTTTAAGACATATATGGTATTAACCGTAACATAATATTACCTCATATTCATCGTAGCGTTTTTCGAGACCCCCCCACGACACGTAGCAACATTCGTGTGAAGGCACAACTTTTCCAGGTATTAAGTCGTCTTCATGTCTCGTACGACCAATGTAGAGTGTCTCGCCCGTCGAATCTGTTCCCCCGTTGACGGCGTTTGGGGGAATTGCTGCCCTACAGGTCGGTACCCATCGGCAGAGGCTGTGATAGGTGTTTGCTAAAAAAATATATAAAAAAACACATTATCGCTTTAATGTCATAGAGCCTTGATAGCGGAACTTTGTGCAACGTATGTTGCAAAAATATTGGATCTAACTGTTGAGTTATAAAGAAAAAATCAAATTCACTTTACGAAACGTATGCATCTATTGATATTATTTGTTTGTTGTTCAGTAAATTGATATACAGTAAATATATTAAATGAATGAAAGGCTACAGCGAACTAGCAGTCAGCGTTAATAATAATAGCTTGATAAGCGACGTTGATTTTTATTAAAGCATTTCCATATGATGGGTGTGATTCATCAGCATCATTATTATAATTAAAACCTAGGAAAGCTATGATGTTTTGCGGCAATTGTCGTTAGGTTTCGACAACTTGTAGTTATTAGTTATAGCACGCAGTGTTTTGAAAATAGGCGACTAGATAGGTGCCATTATAAAGCTAGCTTTGGCTACAAATTGAACTAACTAATTTAATTCATGTTTTACTGTTATAACTATTATGTCTGAACGTCTGATCTTCTCCTAAAGCGGGAAAACTAATGAACTTTCGAATCTGTTTTTTAAGCGGCAAAAAAGCCAACTTAGCGAATAACACTGTTACAAAATAGTGAACAAACAAACATTTTCGTCATTTGATGACACTGGAATTATCCTGAACAACCTCGTTGGTGCAAAATAAGCATTGAAATGCACTTTTAACCTAAAAGATTTTGAAATTTTGTTAACCCCGAAACCTATTATTGACTATCATTCACCAGCGACAGCAAAATGGTTCGCAGTCGATTACACAACGAACACAAAGAAAAAATTTAATTATTTTCTGGCCACATCAGCTGCGGATAAAAAAAACACTGAGCGTTTTTTTTGTTCCAGTGAGACAATACAGATCCCTTTTTGAGCTATCTGAAAGTGAAAGATAATAGTAAACACAATTCAGCTTACCTGCCATGATGAATCTGAGCTTGTTTTCCACAGAGGTCTGCGGTTTGACAAGCCGCTAGTTTTCTTGACCGATATTGGCGTTTGTACGTTTGATAACCGCGGGTAAAAGAGCGTGTGATTCAAATTAATCACCTAGGTCTATCGAATTTCAAGAAATGATGCTGAAAATGATCAAATTCGTTTCTCACTGTTAAGCACTATATTAAAAAGGGCGTCCCTAAGATAACAGCACACGTTTAGGAATCAATAATTGTCCATAATGACAAACTGCCTATCAGTCAGCATTCACCCTGACAGTGAGTCGGCTGATTTACCTGTTCTCTAGTTATTTGCTGCTGTGATCAATAACTTGAGGTGGACGAGAATGAATCTCGGCAAAACTCTAAAGGCTGTCAGCAGTAATCCGCTGATACGTGCCCCAGTGTCGTATCACTGGCGAGAGAAAGGATTTCCCAGTCCAATAGGAATGTGTCGTCACTGTGCTGTGACGACACATAGCTTAAGGACGACGTCTCGTCAACGACGTCGCCGGAAGAAACGACGTCAAACCCAGCGTCGGCGACAGCACATTTGTTGTTGTACTTAGCTTAATAGAGACGCTTTGGTTTGGGTTTGCCCGTTTGTCATTGCCATCATTAAGTAATTATCAATATTAATTCACCTAAAATTAATTTATCTTCGGTAAAGACAGTTTTCACAGGGAAAGATTTACAGTTAATAAGACGGTTAATTAGTCGAACGTTTACCTTCTTTGGTGGGTTGTCGCTTTAGAGCTAGATCACACGTAACCTCAACACAGAAAATCGTGGCCTCACGTTTTCGTCAAAGTAACAGTTGATTTCTAAGTGTTCGGCTTCTTGAGCGGTAATTGCAAAGCGTGACAATAAATTATGTGTGTATTTATTAGTTAGCCAACTGCTGATATCCTATAATTTGATTTCTGATGTCAATTAAAAAATGCATTTTTAAAAATAGTTGCAAATGAAACGCACAACTTGCTTTTACGCTGTTTAATAAAAAGATCTTTGATTGGGGACAGTACCATTAGTCCTGGTTAAGATTCAAACGCTACAGATTATTTTGAATGGAGACCTGACCACACAGACATAATGGTTTGCCACTGCATGACCAAATCATTCAATTGTGCTCGGCTATCTTTCAAAAACAAATATAGAAACTGTACTCATCTAGAACAAGCTTTTGTACAACTTATTATAAGAAGAAATGAGTAACACGTATACTATATGGACATACGCATTTATGCACTGACTCAGTCTATTTAGCCTTGTCCCCGTGGTAGATTAGTGGGTAACATATTTGCCTACTAATTTTAGGAACACGTTCTGGCGTGAGTTCGTCGAACCCGAGCATAGGTAGAGCTTGTTTCGTGCTGGAAGCTAGCCGTCTAATGGAAAGTCTGACGGCGGCACCGGACGTAAAACTCAAAACAAAATAGAACGTTACTCAACCTTTATAGATAGCATAAATCGTTGTGTGGCTTTTTAGCTAACATATTAGAGAAGTGAGTTCTAATTCTATTTGAAACTGAAACGCGCTACAAGGTACCACAACACAATGTGTCTATTTCGTCTAGCCGACAACTAAATAGATGTGTGACGTATGTCCTTCGGGCTACATTTTAACTATTTAAATTTAAATATTACTACAAACTGAACACCATAATCTTGACATCAACTGACAAGTTTCGCTAGAGAACCAATAGGTATACATACCAATCTTTCGAGTGAGTAGACAGTGGTCATATATTAGAGGGTTATGTCATGTCACGAAGCTCATATCAACCATTCTTTAGTTGTGCATCAAAAAATTAATGTTACGGCTCTTTTCCATGCTAACTTTTTTTAAATACTTTTCTAGTCTTCCTGTAAGCTACTTAATTGCTGTCAGTATACCTGCTATCAGAGTAACGCATTCTACTTTTAGTTCATTTCTAGTGCAAAACATTGGTATAAACTTAAGAAAATTCTAAGACTTTACTGACGAATACTAACGAATAATGCTACGATTGTCATAAAAAAACAAATAGAAAATGAATCGAATATATGACACTGCACTTTGATTGATTTTTCGGCGGGCTCTTTTCCCTCTAACTGTGAATGAACGCATTTTGACTCGCTCTTCACAGAACGTCGGCTTTCTGCAAGATCAGTGGCGCCATCTCTTGTTTGTTTAATCAACAGCTGATCGACGAATTCGCGCGAGTTTATTCAACTCCGTTTAGTACAAAACCTTCACAGAATTAATAAGCGTTGGTTAAGCATTGCTACACGGAAACGATGGAATGTGCTAAAAGGCTCAATCGACTGATTGACAATGGACAAATTGTGCCTGAAGAACACGGACAAGTTAGTGATGCAAAACGGCTTGAAAAATGTGTATATTTCTTGAAAAAGGTTCTCACCTGCGTAGACGTTGATATGCACTCTAAAGATTTGATGTGTTTTTTGAGTCACCTTAACGCCTCAATTTGCCTCAGGGAACTTGCTCATGCACTATCAACTGTTCAGGAAGGGTTCCGGAAGTCTGCTCTTTCTCACCTTCTAGTGAAAGTTATCAACGCAGACTTTCTAGCGAAGCTCTTGGAGGAACGTTTTTCACGACAGCAGGTGCGTGCGATCTCACACCTTATAACAAACCTGCCTTCAAAGGTGGCAAACGAGCTCAAGCTTGATCTACCCGAATTCTTCAATGTAGAACGTTATCCGTCATTATTAACGCGAGCCTGCTGTGCTCGTATTAACGAACTTTCTGAAAACTTACGTCAAGGTAAAGACACCTATTTAGGTTTGCTGGGCGCGTTAGTCGGAAGACTGGGAGTTCACTACCCTGAAACGTTCGATGAGTTAGTGCAGTTCTTTCTCAGCCGTCCAGAAGATTTTGTTTTTCGTCGAGTTGTTCACCGACTGATCGTAGATCTGCCAGTCGATCTTAAGGAAAATGCCATCGTCCTCATCTGCTACCGCACGCCGTGTTTCAAGCAAATGGATTGGCTTCTAGAGGATTCCATTACAAGAGATGCGAACATCGAATACATACTTACCAAAAAACTGCTACTTGGCAGATACTTCAGTAATGACCGCGTCCTAAGAAATGTTATTGGTTACCTTTGCAGTTCCCCAAGTCGACGAAAACTAGCTAGTCAGACTGCTGTAGAACTGTTTCACACATGGTCAGATAAAGTACTCATGAAATACCAAACTGTTGAACAGCAAAAATATCTGACATGCGCTTTGCTAACCTTTGTAGGCTTTGTTAAGGCCGATTTCTATCTCGATGTACCTGACCATGACAAATGTATTCAAGCCTGTCTTGTTGGCATCCAGAACCATTTGTCGGAGCCGGACGAAGTTTTGCGAGATTACGGTATGATCGTTGGTAGAGAATTTTTGGCTGTGATGAGATCAGACGTGAAAGCTCCTGATTTCCCCATACATGTCTCCCAGTATAAAGACATAATGTCATTCCTTGATACCCCATCTGAAAAGATCGAGCCAATTACTCTGCAAAAAGTAGAGCCGCAGTTCAAACCAAAGACCGGAGTCGACAGCGACGACGACTCAGAGCCTAATAATGATGATGATCTGGTTTACCAAATTGATCCGCAATGTAAGATCCCACTGTACCTTCGGGATTGTCTACGCCTAATGGTACCAGATAAGGATGGAGAAAATATAGAGCAGGCGAAGATCTGTCTAGAGCATTTGCCGCAGCTTATCGTTCGATATCCTGAAGAACTACGTGACATTGCAGTAGACCTTTGCCGGCTAGTACTTTATGCTGAGGAGTGCCCACGGGTGTTTCCGCAGATCGCGTCCCTCAAAAGAGAATCACTAGTACTTCTTCTTATACATGCTCCTATTCCGTCGTCAACATATCTAACTGACCAGTTCTATAGCCTACACGTAAGTCACACTCAGAGGTTAGAAATTCTATCCGCAATTACACTGGCTAGCGATCGTTACGTGAAGGAGCTGACTTTTAGTGGAAAAAACTTCCTCGTAAAGCCAAAAGCTAAACAGATAAAAAGTTCAAATATTATTCGTAGCCTTGACCAGTTAACTGCTGAGCCTCGAAAAATTGCCGAATATAGCGGGGATGATTTCGACATTAACATCTGCGAACAGGAAAGTAGTGATACTGTTGAACGTCACTGGAAAGAGGTTGTCGATAAACGAATATCCAGCAAGACTCGGAAGATTACTTCGAAAACAGAGATATCGACTCAAGAAAATCGATTTGGTGAGGTTGCGGGCCATTTCTTTTACCCATTGATGCGCCCATTTACAAGTGAGACATACCTTCGAGTGCACGACGTTGATAGCTTTCTGCTAGTCAAACTTTTAGAAACCCTTGGCGTTATAATGAGTTCAGCTCGCCACACACCTCGAGCCTATCAGATGGGTCGAACCCTTCTTCAGTTTGCTTCGGCTTTTCGCTATCATGATCATGAGCCAGTGCGCAGGGCTTGCTTTTTTGCTATTGCTTCAGTGTTTACTTCAGTCCCAGAGGAGCTCCTAGACGACGAAAACCAATTAGGTTTGGAGGCCGCTGAGCTGGGCCCGTGGCTGAATACCGTTGCCACAAACGCACCATCTCTTGAAGTAAAGGTATCTTCTCAAATAGGTCCATCTCTGTTGACCGCTAAACGCATTCAGGAACTCACCTAAATTGTTACGTAGTTAATGTCACAACTTAGTTCTGTGATAATCTACATTGGTTCAAAATGAGGTTACACTTACATGTCAATAAACCAACATGAAATGCTGGTTAAAAAAGTTCAGGAGCTAAATGTAACAATAAACTCATACATAACTGGTGCATTTTAGGTGTTTTTACTAATTTATCTATCACAGATGGGAACTCGATAGATATGACAATCTTTGTGAATAAACGACTTCCTTCAGTTTTGTCAAGAATCAGCAAGATGGATGAGGTCGACCTTGTCTTATAACTTCACATAATTTGTTTCAATACAATTTATTATAGCTATCACAATCGAATAGTTATTGATGCGTGAATTTTTTGCTCATTTGTCCATTTTGACCACAAAACTTATTCAACTTGTAGACAACAATTATAAAAAACGTCACGGCTGTTCTTGAGATTAGGCAACTTAGTTAGATACTTACAATGATAATAATAGCAATTATTAGACCCTTAAAGCGTCTAATGTCCTTAGAATAAAAAATAATCGTTAGACTCGTAATAGAACATTATCAATATGTATTTCCCATTTTTGTAGGTGTGAAATCCCAATATGTCTGTAATCATCTTCACAGCATTACTTATGGCACTATATATATATATATATATATA